GATTGTGCGTACAGCAGAGTGGTTTGTTTTGGAAGGTGTTTTTTTAACAGCCACGCTGCTCCGGGTTTGGGTCAGAGAAGGACGGTGGGAGCAGGGCCCCTGGGGAGGTTTGGGGTGGCCCTGAGTTCCTGGGGGTCTGGGACCGGCCCCGTGGGATGCTCTGTTTGCTGCTCAGCTGGGCTCTGCCCCGGTGGTAGAAAGTTCCACGGGCCCGAGGGGTGGAGTTATGGAGCTCTGTCCCCAGCCTGGAGCCATAGACGCCTCTAGATACGCTGAGCCCAGGCTGCTGAGCGCCTCGAAGACCAGGCCCGAGACGCGGTATGCTATGGGAAGCCAGCGCAGAGAGCTAAAACGCAGCCCCCTCTGGGGCAAAACGCAGGAGCCACAACAGTGCACAGCCACCCCCATTCCTTACCCAAAGGCCACAGCTACTGCTCAGCTGGGAGACTGCCACTGAGGGTATGTCTACACTACAGGATTAATCCGAATTTAGATAATTCGAATTTGGGAAACAGGTTGTATAAATTCGATTGTGCGCGGCCACACTAAGCACCTTAATTCGGTTTTAAACCACATTAATTCGGTGGTGTGCGGCCACACTACCCCATTAACTTAAACACAGTAATTCGGTGGTGTGCGTCCACACTAATCCTAATTCGAATTAACAAAATCGATTTAGGCTCTACTCCGTTCGTCGAGGTGGAGTACAGAAATCGATTTAAAGGGCCCTTTAATTCGAATTAACTGGCTCTGTAGTGTGGACGGGTGAAGGGTTAATTCGGATTAAGGCAGCTAAATCCGAATTAAAGTCCTAGTGTAGACCAGGCCTGATTCAGCCAAACGGCGCCTCCCCGGTGCGATCTGTGACCCATTGCTAGGCTTACCGGAGACTCGGAGCAAGCTTGGGTTACCCGTCAGTTGGCATGCAGGGCTGGACGGAGAAATCTGAGTGCAGCCCCAAGGCACGTGCCCTTCCCATTCAGGCAAGGGGAAAACCTGCAGCAGCATAGCCAGCTGCTGTGCCTTCCCTGCAAAGTACCCAGGCACTCTGCTCTCCTGGCCAGCCCCAGCCCTGCTCCTCCAGCTGGACAGGTGGCTCCTGGACTTCTCAGCCCCACGTGCCGAGACAAAAGGAAAGCACAAAATGCAATGCTGACAAAGGCAGGCAGCTGTGTCACAGTCCCCTCCCCCACTGCAAGGCCTGTGTCTAATCTGCCTATTCAATGCGGGGCCGGTTGGCCACAGTCCATCTGGTGGAGCGGCCCAGGGTGTGCTGCCGGCTCTCTGGTTATGCCCGTTAACTCCCTGCTGGGCCGCCGCGGTGCAGTGGAACAATCTATTGCCTGGGCACTTGCTGCATGGCTGTAAATCTGCCTCTCCCTTTCCCAGGCGGAGGGGCAGTGACCTGCGGAGGGAACGCTGCACCCTGAGAGCTAGGTGCGAGTCCCAGGGGGTAAACGCTGGGACTGTACAGTTGGAACCTGCCTCTCTCCTGGGGCTGCAGTTCACTGCTGGGAGCAGCCTGGCGGAGCCCATGGCCCTGGTCTCAGCAGCACTGGGGCCCTTGGTTAATATATTGCACAGAAATTACCTTCCTTGGTCCCTCCACTCTCCCCAGCATTCAGAGGCGGCCAGCACTGAAACAGGGGCCTGTTGCTCTCTGCAGCTGTGTTCCGGTGGGTGGATTTTTAACAAGACCTCGGCTGGACAGAGAGTATTCCAAGGGCAAGCATGTCCCTTCTGAGCCCATACGCTGGATGGGCATGCACCAGTGCCTCATTATGCTACTGCAAATTCAGGGGTGCACAACGCAAGGCATGAAGCCACTCGAGAGCAGCAACTTCCTGGCGTTTGGGGTAACTGCCCCCGAGGGCACTTTAATTCTGCAGTGGTGGGTGCGTGCTGCAGAAATGCAAGACCGAGGGCTATGCCTCCCATTCAGCGCTGCGTACTCTGACCGCAACAGAGCTAAGTTGGGCAAGCTCATGGGGGAAGCGGCTGGAGCAGCCTCAGCTTCTGGGCTGGTTAGAGCACATGCAATGGAACAGGAGGTGACAGGAGCCCGGAGGAGTGCTCTAGGCGCTGGTGTGGCAGGGGCCCCAGCGGGAAGATGATGGCTGGTTTGTATTTTTCATTCCCACACCTGGCTGGTAATGCCACTCTCTGAGAGCTGGGCCCTTGCCGGTCACAGACAGACACATGCGCAGGGGAGTTTCCTGGGTGTCTGGCTGGTGAGTCTTGCCCACATGCTCAGGGTTTAGCTGATCGCCATATTTGGGGACGGGAAGGAATTTTCCTCCAGGGCAGATTGGCAGAGACCCTGGTTTTTTTTCGCCTTTCTCCACAGTGTGGGGCCCGGGTCACTTGCTGGAGGATTCTCTGCACCTTGAAGTCTTTAAACCACGATTTGAGGACTTCAATAGCTCAGATATAGGTTAGCGGTTTGATACAGGAGTGGGTGGGTGAGATTATGTGGTCTGCGTTGTGCAGGAGGTCAGACTAGACAATCATAATGGTCCCTTCTGACCTTAAAGTCTATGAGTGGAATTACTGTTTCATCCAAAACCTGAAAGACAATAACCCCAAAGCAATCCCAGTCTTCTCTGCGGGGGCTCCTGCCTCCTTGAGTTGGCTTCCAGTTTCTCAACCAGGCCCTGGGTCTGGGTCAGGCCTGGGGTGTTCGTTAGGCAGAGGTTATTCCTTTCACAGCCGCCTGAAGAGCAGGTGGGATAGCACCACATTCCCACCGTTGTTACTCCTTTGATGTCAGGACTGGCGCTGGCTCCTCACGCCTGGGTCCATCTAGGTCAATGAGCTTTGAGATCCTTCGATGAACGGTGCAGTACAGCATGCGAAGGGTTAGTGGGTGAGTTTGCAGATGCCCAGGTACAAGTAGGCCTGGGCCTAGCAGTTCTCTCAGTAACGCTCCCTGTTCTTCTCTAAGGTAGGGTGACCAGATGTCCCGATTTGATAGGGACAGTCCCGATTTTTGGGTCTTTTTCTTATATAGGCTCCTATTACCCCCCACCCCCATCTCGATTTTTCACACTTGCTGTCTGGTCACCCTACTCTAAGGCCAGGTTTGGCTGGTCAAGGCCTTTTGATCGCTCAGGCCTGCCCAGGCCACGTTCATGCACAGAAGGCTGGAGTCTAAGCCGCGTAACTGGGCATTGCGCCACTCATGCCCATGCGTGATGTCCATTTAGCACAGCTGGGGTGGTGCCTCCTTCGGGTTTGTGTGGCACCTTCCCACTTCACTGGTGCCAGGAGAGAGCTGCCAGTCACTGGTGCTCTCTAGGGTGACCAGAGAGTAAGTATGAGAAATCGGGACACTTTTTTTGGGGGTGTGGAGGGGGTCTAGTTGCGTATGTAAAACAAAGCCCCTAATATGGGGTCACCCCAGTGCTGCACGTTGTCAGTCTGCCAGTGCCCCTCCTCCCGTCACAGAGCGTTCTGCGCTGCCGGCACTAGGCCGGGGAGTTTGCTGTTCTGGGGGATTCTGGCGGCTGCCTAGCTGAACAGAAGGGCTGATCCCCATTGTACATTCGTGTCTGCAAAAACTGGCCCTTTTTGTCCTCTGCAAACCACTGACAATGAAAGTTTGAGGCCATTTAATGACGTGCTCGGCCTGTTCCCCAAGCAGGCCAGCAGAGCAATACAAAGGGGCCTAAGGTAAGCTGCACCTTTCAGCTTTATTTCACACTCCACTCCAGAGAAGAGACCCTTCTCAGCAGGGCACTGCCAGCCCCACCCCTGCTCTGAAAGGGGGTCCCTCGATGTCTGTCTCAGCCTGGCTTTGAAGGGTTACCCTTTCACCGCACTGTGCTGCTTCAGCCAGTCCTGGAATACCGAATGGGTGTTTTTTCATGCATGAGCCACCCAACGCTGCTTTAGGGTGCTTGGCAGCAGATACAATGCAGAATAAAATCCATGTCAGCTTTCAACTCCTCATTGAGCACAGGCTGCATCTGAAGCTAGAGTCCATTACATCCCTACTGGTCCTGCTCAAGGAGTCGGAATTAACTGCATGGCATAAAGGGACATGCACAGACATTACGGGGACGGGCGTCAGGGACTGAATTGTCTGTTCACGTGAAGGCTCAGCCAGGACCCAATTGCCGTCATAACTGCTTGAGTACAACAGGGATTTTGCCTGAATTAGCGCTGCAGCCTTTGTCTCTAAATCAATGGTACCCCGCGTGATTCTTTCTGAGCATCTGAACTGCAGCAATCCACCTCTCTCCACCTAAACTCCCTCCTGGCAGCTGCATGTCGTTCCACAATCAGTTTCCCAGCGTTCCTGCCTTGGGCTTTGTCCAATCAAAGTGTATTGATTCTTCACATCTAGATGCGCTAAGCAAAGTGTGTTTCTTTGCTTTGGCCCCAACCAGGTTGGTGGTAAATTATTTCTTCCTGGACGGAACTGGGCAGAATCGGAGACCCGGGTCACTTCACAGGGCTGTATAAGAACTGGGTGAAGAGCAAGGAAAGGACAGACAAACAGATCTTAACGGTCTGAATATTTGTAATTAGCTCATCAGCACGGGATCTGGGTCCAAATGTCCAGGGGCCGCAGCGATTGTGAAATGTGCGTAACAACGGATTAACTGCCATTGCCATTGGAACATGTGATAATGCTACCGTCACAGAGTCCATTTCACCTCCTGCTAGATGGATCCCGGCAGAACCTTCAAGGTCCTGTGATCTACAGCATCCGCTCACGGGCACCTCAGGGACGGGGGGAGCACCAGGGATATGAATGAGTTGCTAACCGGCTCTGTGAACATGTTGGTTTTCCGCATCTTGCTCTGTATTCGCTTCACTTGTTCCCCACCGGCTCCCACACGGGCACCGGTCAGCTCTGGGTCAGCTGTTTACAGCAGCCCAGCACCATGCCCCTGCCAGTGGGAAGAAATGGCTGATGACACTTCTCATTTTCTGAAGCCTACTGGTCAACTTGGTGGGAGTTGCTGGTGATGGCGCCGATGGTCCCAATTTACCTGCAGCGTCAGCTGTGGCAGTTTCATGGTTGCACCCCCCTGTGGTTCTGCACCTTTCAGATGGCCTCGATCTCCACCCCGTCCGTGCTCCACCAGATCGCCACAGACAAGAGGGTGGAGCTGGAGGGAGGGAGTCCGTGTCCTTGAGCTTCTGCAAAGTCTGGAGGCCAGTGAGCAATTGCCGGGGAAGTGCGACCTCGGTCAAGGACCGAATGACTGGCCTGAGGGCAAAGCAGCATCCAAGAATCGGGAATAGGTGATGCGAAAACTCACCAGGACGACAGTTCAAGGCTCAGCTCATCTTTCAGATTGGGCCTTGGTCACGTATATTGCCCATGTGGCTGTGTAGTCCTGCATGCAGCGAGAATTGTGTGTGTGGGGGGGCAGCATTACCTCTTTGGGTTTGATGTCTCACCTTTTCCAGAGGGAGACTTACCCCTGCTCCGCCAGGCCAGACTGCTTTATCTGACCGTAGTGGGATTGGCCTGGCTGTTCCTTTGGACCCTGGCCAAGTTGCATTACTGGGCTGCTCTTGTGGCTTTTGTATTCTCTTGTCAACCTACTCCACCTGCTCTGAGCTTACGAGACAGGAGGCTAGAACTGCAGACCAGAGCCCCTTCTCCTCCCGCTGATGGGCTCCATCTTGCAGGCCTCCTTGACGCTGCCTCAGGAGAGACCTCTCTTCAAACCACAGTCTCCTTCAGAAACGATCCCAGCGACGCTTCCCCAAAGAAAAGCTCGACGTCAAATGCAAGCCTGGAAACGGGGCTAGAACACCCTGGCTTTAGAACATACCATGATCTGTGGATTTATTAGCCTGTGGTTACATTGGCAATGGCCATTGCAAACACACAATAGAAATACACGCGGACAACAGACTTGGGTAACAGCTACGCTACAGAACTAATTGTTACACACACCACAAGGGCCATTTAAATGCCTGCTTTAACCACAGGTTAGGTGGCCAAATCCCTCGGGCTGCCTTTAGCTAGATGCTCCTGTCTCAGAGGCGTGCAGTTAACAGTCTTGATCACTCACTGATAAAGCACAAAGTCCCATTTAAAACTCTGCCCCTAAATTCAGTTCCCGGAGTTCTCCAGCTACTTTGACTGGAGACCGCTGTCAGGAGCAGAGGTCTGTGCTGCTTCGGGCAGCAGGGATTTTAAACCCCACGGAAGGCAGTGGGACCTGGGCCTCTACCTCCCTTACGCTCCTTTGGAAATCCCAGCCCTGGCCCTTAGGTTTCTGCAGTTATTTCCAGTTTGCGTTGCCCCACTTCTCAAGGGTATTTCTGACCATGGCAGTGCTGCATCAGCCCCGGATAAGCTGCTTCACCTACATGGGAGATGTCCCAGTTGCACTGTCCCCTCTCTGGTGCACCCCCCAAGTATCAGGCCACGTGTCTTTACCTATCCTGGGGTCGGATTCCACAATTCTCCCACTCCCAGACTAGGTGCTGGGCGACAGTAACCTGGGCATCCACCATGCTTACCTGGAGGCCCGGCTGAGTTCTGGTTCTTCCCTTCAGGAGTCTGTGCCCAGTGGAGTACCACGACCAGGGTGGATAAAAATCAATGATTTAAAAAAAAAAATTAAATCGGATTTTTTTTTATTTAAATCGGATTTTTTTTAGAAAATGCTTTTAGAGGAAAAAAACCTATCTAAAGATACATTATAGCTCAAAGATATCTGGTCATGGAATAGGGATTATAAATTCTAATTCTATAATATGAGACAATATAGTCATGTAATGTTTAAGAAAAGTTTTGTAAAAGAGTTCCAATAGTTTATGGATTAGGGACCCAATTTTATGGGGTTCCAGGGGCTTCTGTATAGATTATTTAGGTTAATCTTTCTATCTACCCAATGGGACTCAGTGCTCAGTCTAGAAGATACCATCAGAGATGCTAAGTTTTGCAGTTCTCAAACTGTGGATTTGTGTCTCCAGAGAGAACATGCTTGTTAACAGCAAAAATGTTTTGAAATAAATAATATATAGAGGTGAGAAATAACAGACCTCAACCCTATTGTCCCTCTGCAGATTTGTGTACACAGAGTCAACCCCTTACCTCTCTCTAAAAGTGCAAAGTTTCTAAAAGTCCAATAAATAGAAGATTGTTGGGGGCTGAATAGATCTGGACAAGGAGAAGAAGTCTGGAGATAAATGTGAGAAGGGAGGGACAGGCAGCAGAAACAAAAGTGAAACTGTTTGAGCAGCACATTCCAGAAGTCTTGAGGTCTTTCTGAGTGTAGCCTTCATTGATTTGAGATCTACCATACCATTCTCTCACTAGAAGGGAAAACCCATAACGGCAGCAGGCCGTAAGAGAGACCCAGTTTGGGAATAAGAACCATTCAAGAAATATATGATTGATGATGATGTTTTAAAGAAAGTCACACCAGCGAACTGGCGGAAGTCACTTAAGTACTTGGATTCAGAGACTGTTGAAGTGATAATCTCACTTTTAACAGCAGTAGCTTCTTCTGCCGGCATAGAAAGAATATTTTCTTCCTTTGGACTAATTCATTCCAAATTGAGAAATCGTTTGGGACCTGAAAAAGCAGGAAAGCTTGTTTTTCTTTTCCAGATTATGAACAAACAGGAAAATTAAGGTGAAGACTGGCTGGGATGATTTAGTTGGTGTTGGTCCTGCTTTGAGCAGGGGGTTGGACTAGATGATCTCCTGAGGTCCCTTCCAACCCTGATATTCTATGATTCTATGACTGAGTTAGCTACAGAAGCCAATATTTTAAGTTTCTCATGTTGACCTGGCTGACATAGTCGATTTAATTTTTGTTTTTAAACATTTCATTTAACTATTTTAGTTAAAAACAAGCCTGATTTTAAAAAACTTGAACATTTAACTCAATTCAAAAATTCATATGCTTGTTTTGTTAAAATATTATATGTTTGCTGTTGAAGATAAAAATCCAGAATACATAACATTGTTGTTTTAGTTAAATAAAACAGTTTAAATGTCTGTCTGGTGATGTTCTCCTCCTAATACAGCATGGCAAGAAAATCCTCCAAATATTAATAATTAACCTGTTGAATTGGAGATAGTTCACCTCCAATGACTTCATAAATATCTGCTTCAATTACCTTCGATAAATGAAATAACCACACAATCATTCATTTTCTGATATAGCTGTAAAACTAATCTGAAAAGTTTTAAAAATAAATCACTTTAAAAATGTATAGTGTGTACCTTCAAAAAATGAAACCTACATCTATCTGAGTTGTGAAGAATATGTATTCAGATTATAACAACCAACAAGAATGCACTTTTATGTAGAAATCCATGATTAAATGGAGTCTTCCTGACTAGTGATTTAAATCATGATATAAATCAAATCCACCCTGACTGCGACACAAGAGCCTTCATAGCCAAAGGGCTGCTTATTTCAACCAAAGGAACAGATCATAAAAGGATTTGATAAAAAAAAAAATGTCTACACCATCAGAGGGGTAGCCGTGTTAGTCTGGATCTGGAAAAAGCGACAAAGAGTCCAGTGGCACCTTATAGACTAACAGACGTATTGGAGCATAAGCTTTCGTGGGTGAATACCCACTTCGTCAGACATATTCACCCACGAAAGCTCATGCTCCAATACGTCTGTTAGTCTATAAAGTGCCACAGGACTCTTTGTCGCTGTCTACACCATGTTGGTCTTACCTAAAGGCTTCCCACCTCCGATGGTAACCCAGGCAGGGGTGTCTTCAGACACCCCCAGCGGGTGCTTGTGTCTCAGCCGGCCTCCCCCAAACAACTCCCCCACTCTCGCGAGTTGTCCTTTTTGAGCTGCTCTAGTCCTCTTGCTCGCTCGTCTGAGTTCCTGTGTCCCTTCTGTAGATACCCAGGCTCAGCAGGAGATGGAGTCAGAGTCCTCAGAGCCAGTGGCTCTACCATTGTCCCTTAACAACTCTCAGGTGTTTGCTGAGAGGTGGCTGCCTTATCTTGAGCTAGTCTTTCACTTCCTGCTGGCTCTTCCTTACAGCCCTCTAGGAGCCCAACCCAATATATTCACACCGTGACTATCCCAACATCCAGTGTCTGTACATCACTACAGAGATGCTCCGTATCCATCACAGGAGCCTCGGCAGGTTTCATTTGTTCTAAGATCAGACTGGTTTTACTATGCTGTGCAATTCTAGCCAGATGGACCTGGGTGTGCTTTACACAGAGCTCAGTGGCCCCAGCCCTGCACTGCAGCCACCTCTGGGGAAGACCACAGCAGCTCTTTATGACAGGACATAAAAAATAAACACAAATTGTATTTGTTACCTTACCTGTCGTCTGCGCCAGGGTTTCTGGGCGGCCCATCCCTGTCGTATCTGAGCACATTAGGGGAATTATTTTCATGAGCCCCCAAGAGGCAGGGAAATGCTGTTATCCTCAGAACTGGGTACCGAAAGCCAGAGAAATGAAGTGAGTTGCCCCATGTCAAGGCTGTGGGACAGCTGGAGAGTGTACCCTGATCTCGTGGGCTCCGTGGCAGGCCCCGAATCCCAAAGACGATCTGCCTGGCCCCCTTCTCACCTTCCGTTTGTGTGCGCATGCTCATGTATGTGTTTGTACCGGCAGCAAGTTATGAGAGCCAGTGTGAATGTCCACGTCCCTGTGTGTCATGCTGTCCAGTATGGGGCTGTGTGATGCTATATTGCGTGTGTAGCTTTCCACTGTCTGAGAGTGCGTGTAAGGATAGCTGGAAAGTGAGTTTGCAAGACCAGTGTGTGTGTGTAAGGCTGGTGTGAGTGAGTAAGGATGGCCTGTGTGTGAGAGGCAGGCTAGTGTGAGTGTGTGATGCCTAAGGCTAGTTGGTGCCTCTGTGTGCATGAGCATGTAAGGCTGGCTGGTGTCTTGTGTGTGTGTGTGTGTCTGTAATGCTGGCCGGTGTGTGTGTCTGTAAGACTGGTCGGTGTGGATGGGTGTGCAAGATTTGTGGGTGTAGAAGGGTGGCTGGCAGAGGTGCAATGCTGACTGATGGGTGTGCAAGGCTGGGAGGCTGTGTGTACAAGGTTGGCT